GTATAGGTAGCTACTATTATTGTATACTATATCTATAGTATTACGCTATACTACTTATAGCTAATTGTTGTAAATTACAGTTAATAATATTATCCCTGGAAAAAACAAATCAACAGTAACAATAAATTTAAACAAATAAAATTATCGTCTACCAAAAAATAATCAAACTCAGTAATAAAGTTCACACGGCACGAGGAAATCATGGTTACCTGAGTACGCATTGGACAAACTAGACTCACACATTCCTTCTTATGTGTAAGAAGACCGAACACAATAAAATATAAACAATACCTCACTCAAAGGAGCATTCGGCTCCGGACGAGAAAAAAGAATAATCGATGTCATCAAGATTGCTGAGCTCGCATATTATTTCTAAAAATAAAKTAAACTTATAGCTTACCTATACTGGCTAGTCTGGCTACTACCACTATTACAACTGTCAATTGCTTTTCTTTTATCCTGCAAAGCTTTATAAGTTATTATAACGTTAATTGAATAATTAAAATTTTATTCACGTACCATTTTTAATCCAGTTTAATTTTTTTTCAATAAAACCATAGCTTGATGATTTGTATATTTAGAAAAAGCAATACATCTGAATTATATAATCTTGTCTTATTATTATGATATTATATTCTTGTATCTGAAAAATAATTCCCTGCAATAACTGAATGAGAAAACATTAAAATACATTTTCCTAAAACAACTATTTAAACGAAAAATTGACTCTAAAAGTATTAAATAAAAATATTATATTCATGTTTGAAAGTATGAGTATAAAATAAATAGAATTAATAACTATGTACAAAATTACAATAACCGAGAGTCACAAAACACTTAACAAAATAAACATACTTTCGTTATAATAGGTAATGCAAATATGTGTATAATAGCCATTAGCCAGCACAGTTTTTAATTTGTTTACTTAATTCCAGCCAGCAAAGTAATAAAATAAGTTGTTTTGATTATTAAATAAAAACTACCGCAACCGCACTAAATATCTCTATCGAATTTTATTATTATTCATAATAGTTGCTTATGTTTAAGTTGGTGTCACCGTGKAAATTGTCGTCGTTGTTATAATTAGATTTGCGGCATTTGCGTGTATTGCATCATCGTACCTTATAACTTTTGTCAGTAATCAACGGTTAACTCAATACCCGACCAGATGGCGGATTGAGTGCTTTAGGCCATCACGTCGTATATCCGATATACCTTTTCGTATATGTAAGCAATTTAAAGTCATATAGGCCGTGTTTGAGTACCTATCTAGCAAGTCGGTCATCATCGGCAATACTGCAATAGTCTATATAGGTAACTGACTATTAATTTTAGACAACACGTTGAACAACAATAAGTAACATTGCAGTGTTTCGCAGAAACTATAGTTTAAATATTATATATTGTAAGAGTTTGTGGTTTTTTATGACACAAAAACTACCCACGAGGAAAGGGGAACGACTTCCTCGTGACCTGTGAGCCGCACCGCGTGAGACCCGAGGGCCAAGTCGGTGGAACTCACAGGCTTTGTTACACGCATGGGCTATTGAAAGCCACAAGATTTATGTTGGGGRAAAAATAGCTCAAATAAAATAAATAATACGAATGGTTTTTTTTTAAAGGTAATTAGGTGAATGTATTGTACATATTAATAACAGTTAATAAATTTATAAGGTGGCGCACGGAAAATGCACAGTATATGGTGACACATGGCAAATACACATTATAAAGAAAATATAAAGAGATATTGGTACATTTTCTTTTTTCGGCCCACAGGAGGCTACCCACCGTATTGCTCACGGGGTTACCGGGAAAATATTTGTAAGGACCCCCACGTCTTGCGACGCCTAATATATTGTGCTTTTACAAGGGGGGACGTAGGGGACCACATAATTACGACTTCGACTGAGCAGCTGGTGTTGACATAGACGGCGATGATGTGTGTTGGCTTAGCCCATCATGGCGATGGTGACGATCAGGTAGAAAAATAAAATATGCAGAACAGTCCGCAAAAATTAAACTGAGTTTTAAACACGAGGTTCGTGCGGGGTGCCGGAGAGGTCGTGGACGTTCGATCGGCTGGCCGTAATACAGAAAACGTATATGCGTGCGGACCATTGGCAGAAAAAGAAGTGACGAGACGGCGGTGATGGAGTCCGGCCGTTGATGGTTTTGAGCTTTGTTTTGCCGTGGACTCGTGGTAGTGGGGCAGATCAGTGTCGTCGGTGTTGCGGGATTTATACATAATTTGCGTGGTGGAGACAGTATTGCCTGCGGGCCGTACCGGCGGACGCGACAAAAGCGCGGACGACAACAGGCAGCGGGCAATCGAGACACTTTGACGACGGACACTACATGGTGAAGGGGGGATCGGGGAACAACGATTACATAACACTGCGGTCATTAGTGCACTAGCGCACGATATCTAACTTTACTACCCATGGTGGGACGAATAAAGGTGCGTTGACTTATCAACAACGTTGTAATAGGTATGCTCGGAGACATTATTGTTTATTTAAGAGGCTGAAAATTCTGTGACGTTACAATATTATAGTCATATAAGATCACATAATACAATATGGAGATCGAGTGTAGTCACTCACATGGGCGTACGACCCATATGCGTTTGCATACCCTTCGGGCAGACGCTTGGGAGCACACGAACAAATTAGTAACCAAAATTGTTAGATGAAATGTCATGCTCATTAATTTTAGGATCATTTATATATCTGTGGGAGAGGGGAATATTTTATCAGCCGCATACCCTGCAAATAAAGTCTGCGCACGCCTATGGATGTTTGTCAGCGCCGGCGGGGGCTTTTGCGAGACAGATTTTTTCATGACACCTCAAAAAACTTATTCGTTTGAATTAATTTTTTTTTCTATTTTATGCAATGCTTACCTAAAATTGTTTTTATGGAAATGATGTGCGCATAGCCAATTAAATTCTTTTCAACGAATTATTCTGGACGCGCAGATAGGCATTTTCATTTATTTTTACTCGCACTATTGTTTATTATATAATATTATCATATTCCGATTATCAGCTGATAACGTTCGTCGATCATTATCGTACATTCTTTGGCAGGAGCTTCTAAGAGCGATTCAATACACGAAGATATACATCACTTACGCAACTTATCGTTCGAATCTCTGAGCAGCTGAAGGAAAACAGCACGCGGCCAAACTAAAAATAATAATAACAAATTTCGATAACACATTCGCAATATTGTGAGTATACCTATACAGAATGAGAACGCCGCGATCGTCAGACGTGCGTGAGCGGACGATCAACAAAAGTGGCACACAGACGATCGGGCGAGAATATGGAAACTTGAACGATGAGATGGTCGACAAAAATGACAAGACAAAACCGATGCACGAAAAGGCTGCGTCGAGCCAAGCGAAAAAACTGTGCTCACGCGAGGCCGGTAGCGAAAGAGAAAGAGCCCGCGCGCGGCTCAACAGGTGCGTCGGTCGGTAACGAATATTATACAACGACAAGAAAGACGGTGCGAAATTCGGTTGGACGTCGACGGATTGGACCGCGTATACGCGTGGTGGTCGGTTAGGTTAGGTTAGGATGACGCTGGTTTGAGTCGATCGATGAGTACGACGAATGGGCGCTCGTAACGTGGTTGAAGCGGTGGTCGATCTATAGACAAACACGTCATCGTGATGACTGACCCGGCTCTGCAAGGCACGAACGTAGTGCGTTGAGTGCGCGAGCTGTCTCGTTGAGTATCGCTACGCGGCTACCAGCTCAGGTGATGGTCGCGGCTCGCGTTGAGCGGGGTGAAAGTACTCGCCTGGGAGTCTGAGCATGATGGTGCCGTATACCAATACCCGGCTGAATGTTGTTCGACGGCGGCCGCTTTGACTGTGCTGCGCAGCGCGAGTGGTACGATAAGCAGCTTGGCTGACCTGCACTGCTGCAGCGGCGATTCGCGCGCGGCGCGCGATGAAAACGTACTATACCGTTCCGTTGGCCTGAGGGTGATCGAATGTGCTGGATATGATGCCGAAAAGGTGATCAAACATTTGAACAGATCCTATTCGAACTGACTGCCTTGGTCGGTGATGGCGATGACGTCGGGCACGCCGAACCGTGCCATCCATTTCGTTATCGTCAAGATCTGCGAGACTGCGTAGGCCATATTATATATATTCTCGACCAGCCAGCCTGTCTCTGACTGCCGCTGACCGCTGACGTTCTGTTCGAGGACGGATTCCGCGGCGATATTATTGTCACGGCGTCGTCGAAACTGGCTTGCGCGGTCGCCGTTCACCGCAGCAGTGGCCGTCCTGTCGCATGATCTCGGCTGCCGTGTCGTACAGCTGATCTTGGAGTCGGCGGATCGCATCGGGAATAAAACGATGACAGCATGAGTTCAGTGAACCAATAGAAAGCGTTGAATTTTTATAGGTATTTATTAATTTGAAAACAAAATTATCGGCTTACAAAGTTATAAGAATCATAAAATGCGATGAAGGGCGATGGGCAGTTGCCATTTCTGCCCTCCCCTTTCGCCGGCGCTGATGTTTGTTTGTTGAATAATACTTATTATTATTATTAATCATTGATGATAATAATATAATATGTTATTATTGTGTAATTATTAACGAAATATTTTTATTGTCAATTCTAACTGCTATAATTGATATTTAATATTTTCATATTTAGGTAGCTGTTTTTTATGATACCGATATTCATAACACAATATTCATGATAAAGTAGTTAATTTTTGTTATTATTGTTGTTTCTTACGATCAACTTAGGACAATAATAAAATCTATTATAAAATTATTTTAACACTATTGGTGCACGTTGCACTGTAATAATTGTGTCATAAAAATGTTTTTAAGTTTTCAAATTACTAAGATGCAGTTAAATTTTAATCTGATTATATATATATACATATATTTATAAAATGTAAGTATACGTTTTATGTTACACCGTCATTGTTTTATGAAAGTTTTAAACAATTAATAGTAATAATATTATTATACTTTTAATTAGTTGGTTATGTTTGATATTAATTATTATTTCCTTTATTACCTACCTCGCATACCTCTATAAAAAGTAAAAATACTACCTGCACGTTATGAGAGGCTGATAGGCGTCTATTAGTTGAGTTTATAAGAAACTGTTGATTAGAAACAAAAAAAAAAAAATAAATACATTAGTGATTCGTATAGAATTTAATACAATAATATTATCCATAAAAATTAAATAATACCATAGTATGTACCATTATAATAGGTACATATAGGTTTTTTGCTATTTTATTATTTGTTACCTACCTTATAATTTTTATTTCAATTTTCGTAAAAGAATATTTTTCAAATAATATAATCATTATAATCTATTATAATATATATGGAAAACTGAAAAAAAAACTTTTTATTTATTAGGGTTTATATGTAAAATACACTGTGTGATATGCAACTAACAATAATATGATCATAATGCGATCGAATTAAAAAACAAAATTGTTATTTATAAATTATTAGAATAAGAGTTACTACATTAATCTGTTCTGTCTGATAGATACCAATTATCGGCGAGTGACTTGAACCGTTTGAAGAAACAATATAATAAAATCAAAATTTTATGACAACGAATTATTATTGATTATAAATATTACTATAATTTATAATATATATTTATCTTATAGTTTAAAATAAAATAATAATATCGTTGTTTTTTTTTAATTTTAGACCCTCGGCAACATGGGCCATATTGGGCTTACACAAAAATTAAAACTATTACATAATATAAAGTGAGCTTGTTCCAGAAATTAAATTTTGGTCTGAAGGGGTTGGTGGCTGTGATGAAGAATTGGGTGATGTCGACTATGGATTGGGGATGATTGTTAAGACTTTTTGCGAGTGATTCGGGTAGGTTGTGATTAGTTCTGCAGGTGATGTATAGAATATTCTGCACTCGAATAATAATATAATTTTATCATGTGGCTATAAGACTAATATTGAAATCAACGGTATAATATCCATGACGAATATACCTTCGTATCTTGTTTCCGTGGCAGTAATAAAGTTTCCAAACAATATAATATTATGTACTCGGCGTATGTAGCTGTTTATAACAGCTATAAGTTTAAAAAAAAAAAACTGGACTTTGATACTAACCTATTAATATTATAGCGTAATGAATGTTACCAAACTCGTGATCTCCGTGGATCACTGCAATGTGTTCAGCATCGAGTTGGTGTTCAACATATTCCAGAGGAAAGTGTTCGCCGACAACAAGTTGGACGTATTTATTTTAACTTTGGACGTGAACGGAGTAAAAGAAACGGCTGAACACATTAAAAATTGTTGTTTCACCAACTTAAATGGTATATACCTACCTATACTAACAGCACTAACCTAATGAAGATCGTTAAAGTCTTGGAAATAATAAGACTTGCGTTTATTCAAAGACGCGGATATTATTTACTAGACATAGATAAACAATATTATTCTCTCGCGTTGTTATTATCGATATTTCTGTACAATATTTTTGAGCGGAATACAAAATCGATCTCCATTAGAGCCCATCATCGGCTATTTACCTTTATATTATATATAGGCCATGGTAGATATATAGCGATCAATAATTTAATAGTAACTAATCGTAATAGCAAAAATGTATAGTATACATAATAAATATCGATACAGATTATATTTTAAAAAGAGATTAATATTATAAAATAATCATAATTATTACTACCTATATGTACATTTTGTAACGTTTCACAGGACGTGTCTTGAGCATATAATATGATCAAATCAGATATTTTACTAAATTGTTAGGCAAATAGTCAAAGAATTTAATTTTTATGCGATTGGTGCTATCCACCTAGACGTTTAGTTAAATACAAAGTCATTTAATTAAATGTTCAGACGTCAAACTAAATGCCTATTTCAAGTCAAGTAAATAATAAAAATGAAATTTTTTTGTATTATTTTAAAAATTTTACTTTATTTTATTTTTAATCATTTATTGTTATTCTATATAAAAATTATTTATGATTTCTTAACATTGTATGTATATATGGGCATATGAAATATTTGTAATTTCTTTGGAATACGATTGCCTAATATAAGCAAATATCTATATTATGTTTATATAGTTTAAATTTTAAAGAAAATAGTACCAAAGGCCACGAAATTTAAAATAATATTTTTTTTAAGTACCAGCGTATTTAACCCTAATATGAATAAATTATTAGACATAATTTGTTTTATAGAATATCAAGAAATAATTTACAAGAAATATACAAGCTTTAAATTAATACAAAAACATTTCGTTTTTATCACACTTGCCTGATGGCTTTAGGTAGTCAAACTTCTGGGAATTTAATTAAATGCCTGCGACATAATAATATAGGCACCAGAGAGATATAAATAATTATAATTCCCATCGTTTCTGGGATTCGCGTATCCCGACAATTACTGTTTATCATATTTTTTTGTGAGTATTTTTTATAAAGTCATCATCATCATAATAATAAAAAATCTGTTTACAGAATTAATCGTGACCGGAGATTGCCACGATGCGTTCCTGAAGGCCGACTGCCTCCTGCTAATGACCAATTTGAACCTGCCGGATCGTAAAGTTCTCGAAAACGTCCAAAACTTGGAGCATGTTTTCAAAAAGGTCATGCCTAACGAGTGCCCCTTAATTCTCTAGAATTTACGTCTATGAAAACAAAAAAAATCCTTTTCGAAAATTTAAATTTTAACGCGTAATATAATATGATAAAATGGTAACAGGCCAAATCGTTCGATCTTCTGGCCAATCCGGATGCCAGGGTCGTGGTAATGGGACCGTGGTCAAACACGTGGTTACAGATTTTCGCAGAAGTCGCGACTCGTCTGCGCAAGTGCAACTTTACCGGTTTGTCTAGACATCACGTGAGCAAAGCGTTGGGGCTTATCGCACGAAAACTTGACGTAAGTTCATCGTGATGTACCTACGTCGTGTCATATATAACGGTCCAATAAAAAAGTAAAATATTGTAATCCGCGTATACCTTCAATGGTGGGACTATTATATGAATTTATTTAAATTTTTTTTTTTCAAAATTTTAGATCCATCTTGTTCTAAAACTATATATTTTTTAAATATTTTTACCCTTATATATGTATCAGGTAAACCATAATCAACTTTTGATTTTCAAATGACAACCTATACTTAAAATTTCATAAACTAAAAAGGCTATTTTTTTGATGAATTTTCACGTTTAAATTTTCATTTTTCGTTAATCCGTTTACAAGATATAGCCTTCCAAAGTTGGATGGTTTTGGCTGGTATTTGTGTGTTATATAAGTGTATGTTAGGTGGTATTTACACACAAACACCATATGAGTGTTGTTTGATAAAAGGATCACTCTGTATATTATGATTTTATAGAGTGACGATTTATTCGTAAAATTTAGCGACAATCAAACGTAAAAAACAGAACACGACTACCGCACGCATCGTATAGTCCAAAATATACGAATAATATAAAATATTTCGAAGTAAAAATAACATCAACACGATTAATTAGGTTTAATACCCACGGGACACGACGAAACACAATATTATTTTGATGTTTTTTTTTTTTTTTTACTTTAAATGTTAGTTATATCATGTGGGTTAACACAATATATACCTTTCTTTGTCATTATACTTCATATTCAATAAATTTCGTGTTTAATTTTTTTTTTCAAAATGAAAATACAAAAAAGTAAAAGCGCTACTCACGATGTCATGGTCGCGGTAAAATGAGAAAACGAAAAAAAGTATCGAAATATTTACCATTTATTGTATTTTTATTTTTATTTTTTGAATTATTGAATTATTAGAAACACGCTTACTATTCTTTCAAAATTAAGCGGTTTTATATTAATATGCTTAAAGTTTTCCAAACACTTTTTTTGGATATATTTACCTAAACTCTTTTGGTTATTGACTCAGTTATTTATTATACCTGATTGTTGGGTAATTTCCGGAAAAAATGAACAACTACATCGTTTTCTTTGTGAAAGACCGTAATATTATTCTAGACGTATAATTTTTATGTTTCGTCGTACGTTGTCAAATCAACCCGTTTTGGAATTGTTCAATAATTAATTATATTCGTATAAGATACATTTCTTAATATTGCTAAATTCCACGAACTCATCAAATGCGAATATTAACATTGAAAACAAAAATATGTATTATATTATGATATTATTTATGAAGTCATATTTCTGGATTTCGGTGTTTTAGCCATTATAATTTAATGCTCACACGGTTACACCTTGAATAAAATATAATATGATGAATTATGTGTTCTGCACCCTTGTTCGTGTGCATCAGTGCGAAGTGCACGAATTGTCGGACGTGTACGTCTGGGGCAAACATTTCGTGGACATAACCGAAGCTAAGAAAAAAACGAAATTCGAACCGAGAAAATATGATTCACAGTGTACGGTGAAAACGCAGAACGTTGTGAATCTTTTGACTCCGAATTGGATCGACAATTATTTTACGCCACAGTTTGTACGCACCTTCACCGTTCGAACATATTTTAATATTACGCAATATAGTATATGAATAATATTGTTATCGAGACTGCATAGATCATTGACAACCTGCAAATATTATAATATTTTAAAAATCGATTCAATTTTGGTTGACTATGATGAGTGAAATTGATTTCCGGCCAATGCTGATATATATATATATATATTATATTACGCGTATCGTAACTGCGTTAAAAAAAAAGTTTAATAATATGATATTAATTGTCGAGACCATATTTTGTACTACAAATATTTCAATAAAACAATAATAATAATATGACTATTATTTATAGCATTATAATCGTACATTGTTATGTCTTTGTGGACCAACTGCATAAAAATATAATTATAATGGTATTAAATAAAAATAATATATAATAACAACAATTTATTGTCGACATAATACGAGTACAACGCATGTAATTAAACACAGTTCAGTACGGGTAATACAGCGTCGGACATCCGTTTTTCTAACCTTAAATTGTTCGCCTTTATATTTATCGATTTTAATAATTGATATTGATACCGATTTGTCGCCAAATCGCTCCGGCTTCATTGTTGATGATGTACAATATAATATTGTTATGCGTAGGAAGCAATAAAAACCGCAACGACCTACAGACATTGTGTTATATCGGCTGTGTGCCATCACATAATCGACTGGTATCGAGGGACGGGCGACAGGACAGTGTGCATGACGATTTCCGTTCATCAACCAGGACACATCAACGATGGCGTTTTCTCGTCATATCCGGTGGTCATCGGCCAGTCCGGCCAGATGTCTGTCCGCGTGAGTATAATTGCGAGTGCGCCTGAAGTCTGATGCGAAATGTATCGTTTTTCGTTTCGTTATTCTTATGATTCCGCACACCTAAATGTAGGCATAAACGCGTAGAATAAAACGGAAAAAATGTGTTTAATATTAAAAAAAAAAAAAAAAATTGTCCTGTAGTATATAAGCGTATTTGTAGAGAAAATTCGATTGAATTCAAAACATAACGGCCATCGTCGTATGTGAACTTTGCCCACCTGCAAAATGATTCGTTTTTCATTCCCTTATTTTTATAATTCCCTAGTTCTGTCATATTTAAAAAAAAAAATTGTTCTGTAGTAGATAATAGCGTATTTGCAGAGAAAATTCGATTGAATTCTACACATATAACGGCCATCGTCGTTGTGCCCACTCTACACCCTCTCTATATTACTTATTCCAGTGTAGTAACTTATAAAAATCGAGAATTTCACCAAAAGCTGCACTAATCGCAAACAAATGTTTTTAGCGATTACTTTTTCTTTTACGCAAACTGTATATTTATTATTTGTATACACTTCGCAATAATTGCTTTCTTATTTACTAAATGTCCGACATAAATAGCAGTGGCGCATTTAATGTATACGCGCTAGTATACACGCTTCCACTCTCCCCCTAAAATTTGCCGCTTGGGGCATTTGTCCCATTAGCCCCCCCCCCTTAAATACGCCACTGTTAAATAGTGAATAACGTATAGTAATGCAGTTTAAGTTTTTTTTTTTCATGATCAATTATAAACTTTTGTAGACAAAAGAGAAAATTTCATAAGATTATAAATACCTACCTAGTTAATTTGATTTCAATTTAATCGAACCTTCTCTGCATTTTTGAAAATAGATAAATTTTCCAAAATCTACTTATACTTGTCATTATGTAAATCATCCAGACAATAAAAAAATGGTATATGGTATTGCCGTATTGGGAACACAAATTTTGSACAACACGCGTTCATCATTTTATACTCTCATCATGAAATAATATTGTAATTTGAAGTAGGTACATAATAATATAAATTATTTTAATTCGTGTACGACGTTTGTTTTCTAATGCCTACTAAATTTTTTGTTGTTTGAAATGATTGCTGTTTTTAATTTAAAATTCACCTACAACCAAGAGAAAAACGTTGACGACATATACAAATACCTATACAATATTATTGCGATTTACGAATATCATGAAATACAATGAATTAGTAACCGATAAAAATGTTTTCGTTTGTTTTAGAATATTGAGACGGATGCACTGCATTTCATAAAATTGTACAGATATCTGGAAATTCAGCAAAGAGAAAGATGCCTTATTCGAAATTACATCAAGTACGAGAATTGAAGGACTGTCCACGTTATAAAGTTAAAAATGTTGTTGACTTTTGTTGAAAACAAAACAAAATTACACGAGATGTTGAATAGAAAAATACGGTAGTATTAAAAAAAAAAAAACATTTTCCATTGCTCTGAAGCAAAAAATGTTTTTTTTTATTTATTAATTTAATTGTGTACACCGAGTATTTTTTAAATGTCATAAATTTACAATTTTGATTATGTGTAAACATAGTATTTACAATTTTTACTAATTTTTGGTTAATTATATGTCCAGATCCATGTCTGAATCTGAGGTGTCTTCTTTAGGTTCGAGTAGTTTATCCTGTGGTAGCCGTGGTTTTAATCTTAGGTTGACGGATCTTCTGCCGATTTTATAGTGGAGTGCTCCGTCAGAGCTTTGTGGAGTTTTTCGTGAACATTTTTAAATTCCAAAAATATTTGATTATAATATAAAAGTTGTGCACACGATATTGTATGGTGGCAATTAAATACCTTTGCACAATATTTTATTATGTGCAGTAGTTTGACTATAGACATTATGATGGTTGTAAATATAGGTACAGCAGCATGATACAACCTATTATGTGCATTAGCTAAAACGTGAACTTTTTTAATATGAGACATAATATTTAAATAATTTATTATAATATTGAACATACATAATATCTAGATCATGTAAACCGAACTTTTATATAAATTGTTAGTAAATACCTACAACTGCTGGAAAATGTAATAATGATTATGGTCACTTCTGCTTAAAATGTAATTTCGTCTACAAGACATAAAATATTTGATACTTTAAAGTTGACTAAAATAATTGAGTTTATTTAGGTATTTATATTTTCAGATCACTGAACATTATTCGCAGTAATATTCTGATTATTCGTTATTCGTTTAAAAAAACTATAACTTTTATTGCAAACAATTTCAATTTTAATCAGTTTTAAGTGTGTACAATAATTACATAACATGGAAATTTAAATAATGGAATTTATAGGTAAGTACCGGTAAATATTTTAGTGATTGATAAATATATTTAATTATCACACTTCAAAACAAAAAGTAAAAATACAATATTTACCTATCAGCTCTAATTTTTTCGGTTTATATATTATATAATTACTACATTGACCTTTCGGGAAATTGCACATGCAGCTCTGCAGTAGTATATGACCAATACAATGAAGTCCACCAAGAAGTAGTTACTATAAGGCGCAAAGTTTGAAGAATGTATTGTGTATACTGTATAGGTTCATTTTAAACAGAATAAAATACATAATATAAACCATATAAAAAATCACA